ACAACGCGCGAGATTGCAGACAACCTCAATGTATCGCATACATGCATTAAAAAAAAAATTAAAACAGCTTGGCTATGTCAAGAAACTCGACTTATGGGTCTCTCATCGGATTAAGGAAATTCATTTGACGCAACGCATTAGCAATTGATCCATTTCTGAAACGACTGATTACTAGCGACGAAAAGTGGATAGTTTATAACAATGTTAATTGAAAAGATCGTGGGTGATGCAAGATGAACCAGCCCAAACGACACCAAAAGCTGAGATTATGCTGTTGGTTTGGTGGGATTATAAAGGAATTCTGTACTTTGAACTTTTACCAAGAAACCAAACGATTAATTCAAACGTGTACGTTCAATGACTCGCCAAACTGAGCGATGCAGTTGAAGAAAAGCGGCCAGAATTGGCAAATCGTAAGGATGTTGTTTTCCAGCATGATAATGCAAGACGCCGCACATCTTTGGTCATTCGCCAAAAATTATTGGAACTAGGTTGGGATGAGTTGTCACATCCACCATATAGCTTTGACCTTGCTCCTCCAGATTACCATTTATTTCGTTCCATGCAGAGCTCCTTAAATGGTAAAATTTTTAATGACGCTGATGTTGTAAAATCACATTTAATTCAGTTTTTTGTTGGCAAAAATCAGAAGTTATGACACTGTCTGAAAGATGGCAAAAGGTCATCGACAAAAACGGACAATACCTAAAGTTATATTTTTAAGCAAAAATTTTGAATTTTCCTTCTTATTTAAAATACGCGATCATTTAGTTGCTAACCCTATATATATATATATATATATATTTTGACATATCTACATATATATATATATAATATATATATAATATATATATATAATACATATATATATATATATAATATAATCAAAATATAAAATATGATCATATTCAAACAGTTTTCAGAAAAAAAGAAGATTATTGTAGAGTATTTAAAGCGAAATATGGCTGAAATGCAGATAAAAACACGATACAGAGCACATGCAGGATAAAAGAACATTTCACATGATAATGGTGGTGGGCTTGAATGGATAATAATTCGTTTAACGAATCTCAAATGTCTCGTTATTATACGTAGTGAAAAGTACACGCAGCAACAGATATAACGGGAAACTTGCCTCGTTACGATTCAACAACAAAATGTTTTGCCCTTCTTGTCCCTCGCCCCTAATTACATCGTTGACAATAACAAAATCGTTAATTTATTTTCGGGACAACAAACCGGGAAACTCTACTCGTTCAATAACATGACATAAAACTTTAAACATTGTGCTCGGCTGCGTCCGCTAAAACGAATCTTGTGTTCCTCGTTTTATACGTTTATTAAAATCATAATTAATGGCTGCGTTTCATGAAAGCTGGTCACAATTATAATGACGGTTAAAAAATATTTCGATAGTACAAAATCTATAATAGGTATATACAAAAAATAAGGCAAAATAAAACGAATAATCCTCTTGTTTGATTTTTAGTTGTTTCAGATAATTTTTCTATTATATTAGTAGAAATGAACTCGACGATATGACATTTTTTCGGAGAGTTTAAAATAATTTGATAGAACGAACTGATCAGGTCCGCCATTATTATCGTCGAGTTTATTATGATCATGATTGAAGATCGATTTTTGATAAACTGATAACGTTCTGATGCATCAACTGTCACCGCATTGTGATCCATAGGAAATTTAGATCTAAAATTATTCGAATGTCCTCCATAGTAGTCTAAATCTTTATCACGTTTTAAAAACACATTAAATAACTAGAACATAGATAAGAGAAAACAATTTGACATATCTTAAAGAGCATAATTATTGTAAAAACTTTGTAACGATTCTCAAATTATGATGCATTTAAAAATGTTATTATTGGTTGAAATTAACAATCCTTATTAATCCCTTGCTTTATAATATCGAGTTACACTCGCAGCGAGAATTAAGGAGCAAACGTAACAAGATTTCTATTCGTCTGAAAATTCAATTTCAACTCGTTGTCGGCATTTAATCCTTTGTATTCCATTGGCGTCTTTACGGCAATATTGATAATATGATTACTTTTCTTATTATTTTCACCAATAAAAGGTGGGAAAGCAGAGACAGCTCTCCAGTATAAATACAAACATTTATAACATTGATCATGCTGATGTTTAATACAAATTAAATGCTTTTCATTTCTCCTACCTTTTTAGTTATTTTAATATAGGTAAATCTGTAATTCCATTCACATCACTTGAATATTACAGGATAAATACATTTTTTTTTTATTCTTTTATTTTAATGTTTCTATGTTTTAATACAAGGCGTGCAATATTTTTAAATTATGGAGAAAGTGGAAACATACATGTTTACCCCAGCATCAAATAATTTACTGAATTTTGAAACTGCTTCTCTGTAGAAAATGGAAAATATGATTTATTGTGTTCTTCTCCTAATTTTCACACGCGCCATACAATGTAAAGTACTAAATGAAGTAAAATTTATTAGCTTCCCAATAGATGTAGAGACTAGGAATCCTAATACATACGATCGACAATATGTATATAGATAGATATACAGAAAAAATGATAAAGCAAGGGATTAGCAATATCTATCTCTCCAATTATAAAATTTCAACTGTAGATTGAACAAAAATTTCGGATCCCGGGTCATATCTTTCAAAGTAACCAATAAACTTTCACCTATAATTAATGAAACAGCTGTTACGATCAAATTTATATGTTATCGCATTAATGTTCGGACCGTGTGCCGTGTAACGTTGCGACGATTCGCTATTAATGTGTCGAGTAACAATTACCCCGAGCTACATCATCGGGCAACAATTAATAACTGGATAATCGATACAATTTAGCGTGCCGGAAGGCAAGTGTCTGTTAATGCGAGCGAGTTCCTTCGTGAAATCTAGGTCGTTGTAGAAGTAGATCCAACGTATTCGTGTCAATTTTTCGTTCCGTTCATCCAATTGTCGCTTGTCTAGAACTTCATATAAATGATCGAGATTATGCTAATGGATTAGCCAAGGAGAAATTTTTAAAGAATAGATAAGTGAAAAGGGAGACATCGCGGAAAATACGCAAGGTTTAATGTAACCGTAAAGAAGGATGGAGAGGTTTCGGTCGACTATAACTACTTGTGGCAGTACCCTGTTGCTGGGAGGTGTTACTGTATCGATCACTGAAAGCGC